AGAGAAGAGAAGAGAAGAGAAGAGAAGAGAAGAGAAGAGAAGAGAAGAGAAGAGAAGAGAAGAGAAGAGAAGAGAAGAGAAAGAGAAGTCACAAGAAGCCAGATCCAAAAGTAGAGGTTGAGTACAATAGAACGTTTCTCATGGCAAGTCATACTCCAAGGTTCTTGGGTCACTAAAGCAACACTCCCTATACAACTTAAATAGTGACATGCCAATTGTTAGTACTACTACTACATCTGCACATGTCAACTAAAAACAGATGTACCCAGGTGTTACGTGCATGAGAATAATCTATTTTTCAGGAGATGATGATGATGGTTACTGGTGTACATTACACCTATTGTCACTCCCTGTGGGCACACCCAGTCACTAAATGGGATCATATAACAACCTGGAGACAGTGGATAAAAAGATTAGATTCTCCATTACTTCTCCACTCCTCCCTACAACCCACCTACACATAGCATGGCTGCTGAGGCTTAAAATATATTTTCTTTCTTGGAAATCTGTCTGATTCCCAGTGGGGTCTTTCAAGTCTCCCCTCCATGGCCACTTCAGATTCTGCCTTGGCAGGGGCATGGTCTTACCTGTGGTGACTGTGGCTGTCTCAATCCACTCCACCCAGCTCTTCAAAAGTTGCTGAAGTCTCTGGACCTTTAGCAACATCTCTCCGGCTTTAAATCCCAAATATCTAAATAGTTGGCCCCACCCCTCAACTCTGGCCTCTTTTGGATTGTCTGTGTTGGTGACTGGATTAAACCTCCAGTGACTTCTACCTCAGGCTGTTCCTGAGATATAATCTCAGACTGTATCTCTGGAGTGGGTGAGAGATTCCTCTGTGGACTTTGAAACATTATTTTATTAACCTTGCCTGAGAAAATTAGACAGGCTATGGTAGACTTTGTAAGAGGTTATACCTGGTATTCTGCTTGCTGATTGTATTTCCTAGCATAGCTGAACTGTATTTTATCCTACACTTTAGAATCAAGGGGTTTGGTTATCATGCCTGGTTTGTACTTAGTCAGTACATTCTGTTTTGTGTTTAGTCCACTACTATGGTTGGATCTTATGAGAACACAGACCATCAGATATTCTGTTTGCCTGGTTCAGGGTGGAGCACAACTGGATCTCGTTAGAATCTTTAGTAGACAGTGATTCAAAGAGGAAACTGATGTTTAAGGCTGAAGCCTAAAATAAAAAGTGAATGGTCTGCTGTCAGGGATCTCTTGACATTCTCTTCTTCTCTCTTGGAAATTAAACTGAGCTGCCATCTAGAGGCAGCAGTTATCTAGCACTCTCCGTTATGGCAACACAGGCATCAATGGGAAGTTTTTATATTTACAGTTTCCAGGACACATCATCATGGGGATCTTAGAGATACAACATTTTTTTTTTGCAACTAGCACCAGGACATATTTAAAAAGGATTTACTCTTCCAGGTAACTCTGAACACTAACTACTAATCAGTCTCTCCTCTTACCTCGGCATGCAATCCCCTCCCCTTTTTTGTGGAAATATTTGGCTAGTGCTTTTGGTTGAATCTTTTTTCCTAAAATACAAATCCTGATGGAAGATAATGTATTTTCACTACTATTGCGGTGAGGAATGATTAAGAGGTAAGTAATCTAAAATAATAGCTATCACTTTTTTTTTCTAATTTTCTCTGGTTGTATTGTATCATATTGTATGGCAAAAAGATACATATTTGATTTGTTAATTGATTTTTTTTTCATTTTCTGACATCCTTAGCTAAGGGAAGAAATATATGATATGATACATATAGACCCTTTACCCTACTCCTCCTAATGTGCATAAAAGCCAAGACAAATGGAGAAGTTACTAAATGTAATAGAAATAGAAAAATAATATTTTATTATGGTCACAAAAAATTATCTTAGAGAATATGAAAAAAATCAAGTAGTGGCATCAGCTTTTACTGGAGCTGATTACAGATCTCTGAAGGCTCTGTTTAACTTGTTTCATTGTTCAGACTTTTTATTTACTTTGTTATGTATTTATTTATTCACTGTACATTCAATCACAGTGCCCCTCCTTTCTCTCCTCCCAGTTCCACCCTCACAAATCCCTCCTCTCATTACTCCCTCCCCTTCTCTGAGGAGAAAGAGAATTTTACATTCATTTTACCTTCCTGTGACAGCCACCTCTCTCCTCTCTTCCCAGTCCCAACCTTATAAATCTCTTCCTCCATTGCCCCCTCCTCTTCCCCTGAGAGAAGGGGAGATATATTTTGAGTATGACTCTACTTGGCACATCTAGTTCCAGCAAGGCTAGGCATATCCTATCTTACAGAGGCCCAACCAAGCAGTCCAGGTAGAGGGAGGGCGATCCAATGTCAGGGAACAGTGACTCAGACAGCCCCTGCTCCTCTTGTTAAGGAACCCACATGAAGATCAAGCTGCACTTTTGCTATAGATGTGTAGAGGGTCTACGTCCAGCTCCTGCATGTTCCCTCGTTGGTGGTCCAGGTTCTGTGAGGCCCCATTGTCCCAGGTTAGGGACTTCTTTTGGTGTCCTTGACCCCTGTGACTTGTTCATGTTTATTCCCCACCCTTCCAAAAGACTCTGGGCTCTGTCTGATATTGGCTGTGAGTTACTGCATCTGCCTTCTTTTGCACATGGATGAAGCCTCTCAGGAGACAGTGATGCTACAGTTTTATTACTTTTTAAGTCATTGTTTTTTTTTCCTTCCCTCCCTCTCTCTCTCTCTTCCTCCCTTCCTCCTTGCATCTCCCTGTCTCTCTATCTCTATCTTTCTATCTCTATCTCTATCTATCTCTATCTATCTATCTATTTATCTATCTATCTATCTATCTATCATCTATCTATCCTCTATCTAACTTCTTTATTCTCTTTCTTTCTTTCTTTCTTTCTTTCTTTCTTTCTTTCTTTCTTTCTTTCTTTTTTCCTTATTCTTCTCTCATTTTCATCTCCTTCCTCCTCTCCTAGTTTCTACCCCTTCCTCTCCTCCTTCCCAAATCCACTTCTCCTCATTCTCCCTTCAGAAAAGATCAGGCCACTCAGGGATATCAAATGAACATGACATAACACATAATATGACCAGGTACACACCCTCATATCCAGGCTGGAAGAGGCAAGCCAGTGGGAGGCAAAGGGGTCCCAAAAGCAGGGTAAAAAGTCAGAGGCACCCCTATTTCCACTGTAAGGAGTCCCACAATAACACCAAGCTACACAACCATAACATATATCCAGGGGACCTAGGTAAGGTCCACACAGGCTCGCTGGTTGTGGCTTCAGTCTCTGTGAACCCCAATAAGCCCTGCTTACTTGATTCTGTGGGTTTCCTTTTGGTGCCATTAACCCTCTGGCTCCCACAAGTTCCACAAAAGTAACTTCTGCAGGATTCCATGAGCTTTGCCTAATGTTTGACTGAGAGTTTCTGCATTATGTTCCTGTCAGTTGCTGGTTGAAGCCTTTCTGATGATGATTGCACTAATCTATTGTTTATGAGTATAACAAAATATCATTAGGAATCATTCCATTAATTTTTTTTGCAGGTTGTGGTTTGGTCTATATTTTTTTATCATATTTTTCCCAGCTTCAATGTCTCTCAGATGCCATTCACCTTACTCACCCCATGTGATTTTTATCTCTGAAAAGAGAAAATACCCATTACAAAACATAATATTACATTGGTGTTCACAGCTACTCCCAAGAATGAGACCTGTCTTGGAATGTGTGTTTAATTCCCAGTGTCACATCTTTAGAGAATTCCGATTGTCCCTCTCTAGACAGCTATCATGTGCAAATGGCTTCTTCAGTACTGGAGAGATGTTGTGCTCATCACATTATTTCATGTTAGGATTTTGTTTTGCTTGAGTTCTGTTGGATTTGAGCATTTGGTCATATTTGTACATGTGTGCCAACCTAGTTGTGGCTGAAAAATGATTTCTCCTTAAAATCATTTATCATCTCCAGTTCTGACAATCTTCCCACCCCCTCTTCCACATAAATCCCTCAGTGTAGAAGGAAGTCATGTGACAAAGAGATCTTATCCAAAACCAAGCAGAATATTCCACTTTCTTGATGTTGTCCAGTTGTACTTCACTGTGTTAATTGCCAGGAATTAAATTCTCCACAGCAAGAAACTTCTAAAGCAAAGATTGAGAATCAAACTAGTCCATGGGTATAACAATATGCCCTCATGAGTCTTCTATTGCTATGCTCTTTTAGCAGAATAATTGCAATAAGTTTTCTCCTGTGCTTGTGACTGATCTTGTCTAAACCTTTTTTATTAACAATGTTGGGTATAGGATCCATCTTACAGAATGATCCTTTCATCCAGTAAAATGTAGTTGGTTACCACCCTAACAGTTGTGACACTCTTCCTCCAGTAGGTGTAACATAGGGAAATTAACCTTGTATCTCTCAGATTTTGTGTCAGAGTGATGTTAATGATTACTTTCTCCTCAGGCAGCATACAGAAAACCTTCTACCATTATGAGCACTTTTGCAATAGCAAGAATTTTCCAGTGGAAAATGAAATAGCCCTATATTTTCTACATGATAAGATGTGCAGTGTTTATGAACAAAGCCATAGTCTGACAAGTACCCAAAGATATTTGAACCATTCTTAGCATTTGGGTGTTTATTTGAGTACCTACAATATCTATCTATTCACAGTCTTGGATCCTTCATTATATGTTTTCTCCATTTAAATTTTTTTATGAATTTACTTTCAGATGCTTCCACAGTAGTTGGTTTTCATATGGCTTTTCAAAATTTTTAGGGTAAAATGTTTCTCCACATATTCCCTTCTCTGCCCACAGTGGAGGATATTTAAACCAGAGAAAACAATATATCAATATGTCCCCAAGTGATTAAAACATATTTTTTTCAAAAATATCTGCACAGTAATACTTGGCCATATTCAGTTCAGAGTTCCAAGTGTCTGTTAACTCTGACCACATCCTTGCATCATCTTTTTTTGAACCACAATTCTGACAAATTAGGGGAACAAAAACCATAATTATTTGTTTTATCTGAGAACTATTTGTATCTGATCAGGATCATTCCCAAACATGCCCAGGGTGAAATCTGTTCATCTTTACTTGTCTGAAGAAAGTTACTATACATCTGAGTAGTGAAAATCCCTTCAACCCAGATGCTTCTGTTTCTCTATATTATGAATCTATGGAGCAACAATATTCTCCTTACTTGGGTTTATGCAACAGTAAGACCTCAGCTTTAGTGTAAGTCATTCCTGTGTGTATTTAAGTGCTTCTTAATAAAGTCTTCCTGGTTATGATTCAAGGGAGGCGTCAGAATAATTTTCTCTTATAGAGCAGCTTATTTTGATGTACTTCTAATATTCTACCAGGAATTCAAGCACCTTTATGAAATGGACATGGCATTGTTTCAAAGATATGGATTCTCGTCCCAGATGTCATGAGAAAACAGTTTTCTCTCTTGTAGATGTGAGCTCCAAGAGTTTGTCAAGCAAATCATGAAAATCAGTGATGAGGATAATAGATCTATGGCTCAGCTTCCATTTCTAATTGTTGCAGATATAACATACATTCAAACTATTGTCTCACATAAGCAAGTTAGCTGGCAGCTCCCTCCATATATAAACTCTGCTCCTGTGAACACCTTCATGTGTAAGACTAATCA